GAGAGAGAGAGAGAGAGAGAGAGAGAGAGAGAGAGAGAGAGAGAGAGAGAGAGAGAGATTATTGTCTCTGCATTTCCTTACTCAACTCATCTATAGTATTCATCTGGTAGATTGAACTTAATCAGGTAATAAAGGAATGGTCTGAAAAATCTCAGTGAGTCATAAACACTCTTCAAGTAGAATTATATGCCAAGCCATTTACTAATATATGTGGAGAAATAGAAGACCAACACTCGTTTCTCTCATATAGTGGATTTTTTTTTATTGCTATTATTTTGTCACAATACTCCAGTGAAGATAAATAAACTCTTTCAGTTTTTAATTTTTTTCTTGTATTTACATTTTTATTAAGTAGATTGTCTTGGTGGTATTTACAGTTAGACACTGAGATCATGGGGAATTGTGCTGAAATATGTGTGGCTTGTTTTATAACTTGTTCAAGAAATGTGAATACACACGCTTACATTCTAGATTAAAACCATTTGCATAGTTTGGATGTGTTGGTTTATAACATTCACATACTTATATACAAGACACCCACACAGATACTTCAAAGTGTCATCAAAATCTTCCAGGAAGCATGGGCTTCTACTTAAATTTAGCTATGCTGTTATCCAGTGACTGAATATCAACCTCTGTAGAAGGTGCTAATGCTGGGGAAAGTGGAAGGAAAGAGAAGAAGAGAAAGACCAACAGCAAGTTGGGTAGATTTGTGGCAGAATTGGAAAACTTGAAGGACCAAGTTAGGGACAGATTGTCATGGAGAAAATCTTATCTAGATGGTTATTAAGAGTCAACACCACTTTGATGGCACAAAAATAAACAATGTTCTTCGCTCCCTTGTCCTAGTGAAGGGATCAAAGAATATCTTGCCGTTCATGTAAGATTCATGGCAAGCCACCACCATTATTCTTTCTATACAACAATTTTGCTGTGAAGGAGCCTGCCCTTAGAAACCATACATTATGCACGCAGGAAGCACTGTATATTCTGCCTGAAGACACAAGCACATATGTTTACCTTTCCTTCACCCTCTCTTCAACCTCCCATAATAATAGCTAGGCATCCAACAGGGCAGGTGTGCCTGTTTCCTGGCAGATGATGTATGAGTGGCACAATGGCCCTTGGGTGCTCTTCAGTCTGGAGTCTATAAATACAAAGTGCGCTGCTTCCAATAGAACAGGAGAAATTACGTAGCTGCAGTACTGCTTTCTGTGCCTCTGTTTTTCTCATCTGAACTCAAATATAAGTAGTCCTTGCTTAACAACCTAGGTCGATGCCTCCTACCAAACACCTCCCTTAGACCAGTCCGCTCCCACAGAGAGGGCCTCCTTAGAGTGCCGTCGGCCAGACAATGCCGGCTGGCGACCCCCAGGGGGAGAGCCTTCTCTGTGGCAGCTCCTGCCCTCTGGAATGACCTACCCCCCGACCTACGTACAGTTGCGGACCTGCACCTTTTTCGGCGAGCCCTGAAGGCCCATCTATTCCGTGCGGCCGGCCTGGCGTAGTTTGGATTGTGTTTCAGTGGGGGGTTTTGTATGGGTGTGTTTTTAGAACAGGCCTGTTATTTAATTCGATTTTAAAACAGAAACTATTTATTATCGTGGTTTTTAGTATCGCCTGTTCACCGCCCTGAGTCCCGCAAGGGAGATAGGGCGGTATATAAATTTAATAAATAAATAAATAAATAAATAAACAAACAAATCGGGACTAGCAACTCTGTCCTTAAACAATGCGATTGTAAAGCACAATGTCACATAACTGTGCCAACTTATGACAGCAACTGCGACAATCCCAATTGCTGTTATTAGGTGAATCCCGTGTGGACACATCATCCTGCAGTCACATGATTTGCAACTTCCTGCCAGCTTCCCCATTGACGGTTGCATGTTGGAAGCCAACAGTGAAGGTCACAAATAATTACACGACTCCAGGACACTCTGATATCACAATTGTGAGCCAGTTGCCAAATGTGGAAACTGCGATGATGTGACCATGGGAATGCTGCAATGGCCACAGCTATGAGGACCCATCATAGATTTCCCCTTGTAACTTTGAACAGTTGCTGGACAAGTGGTCTTTCAACAAGAATTACCTGTAAGTTCCTTCTTCAGATGAGAAGTGTTGAATGTTCTTCTTTTGCCTCCAATTTGCTTTTTACCTAAAAAGCTTGGAAGTTTGCCTACCATTCCTCATTTTCGAATCCCCGGGACTGTTTTTCTGCTTTCTTACTTATGCCCATTGTGACTGGTCCCAGAGACTCTGGACGTACTTTTTGGGGGGCGGGGGGAGGAAGGGGGAACTGAAACTAATGCAGGGGATTAAGACATGATTGAGGCAGCAGGACTTTCCAGAATAGCAGTTCTTCTTTCGGTGGAAGCTAAGAAACTCCTGCTCCTGCTGCTCATCCTGATAGGCAGAATTATTTCCCTCCACACAATGAATGTGCTTTCATGGGAGGAGAGGAAAGGTAGAGATCCTCACCAAAATGATCCCTGAAGCCATTGTTGACATTTTCACGGGAAGCTGCTTCCTCCATGTAGCTGACATTAGCTGTCATTTGCTTTCTCTGTAAAAGGTAATCTTTTTTTATGTTCCTGTTCAAAGACCCAAATAACAGGACAGCCATTATGTGACAGTCTTCCATCCTGCAGCTGACCTATGCTCACCTGGGGGCTGACAAAAGCTATTCTCGGACCTCCTTTCAGATAGCATGGTTGCTGTGGAGCAGCTTAGGCACTTTGGGGACATCCTGGAGGATGCACAGCAGTAAGCAATCAGTTTTGGTGGGGGTTTTCCCCTAAAGAAGTAGCCCACGTGTACTAGTTTCTCTTACCTTTTGCCCCTATCGGTTGTGCTAAACCTTCCGCTGCTTCGAGAGCAGAAAGGAGGCAGTGAGCCACTCTGCTTGGGCAGTGATGTTGAGAAAGAGCGAGTTTATTGATGTAAATGTTTCTGTGAGGATGTGTTGTCCCCTTAGCTACGTGTCTTTTTTCAACATCCCTTTTGCCCCAGAACACCCACGTTTTATATGCTGCTCTTTCAAACCGTTTTTCAGAACCACTCACAAAGACTTTGCTGATCCAGGAAATTAAAATTGGGGATGCAAAACTGGCAACCTGGTTCGAATGTGTATATTTGGAAGGAGTCTCCAAACAGGCTGCCCCTCAGGAAGACATGTCCATGTGATTTCTATCCGGTGATAGAAGAGAGCAAGAGAACAGAAAGGAATTGATGTGAAAATCTGGGCACATTCTTATATCCCGGCTCATTCGTTTTCCTCAAGGATTACCCACGTGGAGCTCAATATTAAATGTTTTCCTCCAGGAGATCTTACATTAGATCTTTTGGCTCACATCAGCATTCCGTATTCCTGAAAGCAACGTCAGGTCAGACCACTGTCTTTTGATAGCACTCATGCTCAGTTAATTAAGGAGACTGGTGTCTGAAAAAACAACTTCTGAACTGGACTAAAACGCCTTTTTTCAGAGTGGGAAGAAGGAGTGGGACTTCTTAGCTGGAGAAATGCACAGAGGTGTATTGTGCAAGTCCTGGCTTTCCAGTTTCTTTTCCTTTCTCAGGTAGTTTAGTTACAACGTCTTGGTAGTGCCTGTGTATATTCCCTACAGAAGAGAGTTTCTCATCTGTGATTCCTCTGAGTTTCTTTTCAAGGTGAACATGTAGTACCTGTGTTAAATTTAAAAAATACTTTTGCCTTTGGGAAGGATTTTAATTTTGCTTGACCCCATCTTGTGAGGATTGGAGTATTTTCCTTGTATCACATGGTTCATTGTGTCTGTGCCTTTACAGCTGTGCTAAATTAAAATGTCTGCATGTGCTAAAGTGTGTGAATGGAGGCTTCCGAGATTCCAACTTCCCTAATCAGGTCACAGCTCCTCGAGGGGGGAAGCAAGCTGAATTGTTCTTGGGAATGAAGTTGGAAGGGAAGCTGCTGAAGCCCAGTGACACAAACGGAAGCTCTTCGTTCTCCCTGTTCTCTTTTCTTGCTTTATATTTAACATTACTCCTACCCTAAAGAAAATAAGTTGCCTTTAAAAAGAGCTAAATCTGGTCCATAAGTAAGCAATGATCGAGGTGACTTGTATTGTGTTTCTTTAGTTTAATATAAAACTGTGGTGAATTTGAATTGAAGAAAGGGGGTATTGCAGTTACCTGAAGTTGACAAATCTCTAGTGTGAAATAATTTCGCTTTTTTTTTTACTAAATTGCCGCAATTAGGTCTAGTCCATTTCTTTGGCTCTGTTCATATTTTCGGTGTCCTAACTAGTAACAGGCCTAATATATATGAACCTCTCTGAGCAGATCAGAGGTCCAGTCCTGTCCACTTCTGTCCTCTCCTCTCCTGCTTTTGGATTCATGAGACAATAATAAAGACTTCTCCAACCTTCAACAGTGAAAGCTGACTGATTGAGTATGAAAAATATTATTTTCTCCCTTTATGATTTGCCCCCTTTTACAGTGGACCTAAAAGGATAAAAAAGGGAATCTTAGCCAACTTCATTCTATCTGTATTTTTCAGATATGCTTTATCTGAGAAGTTGCCTCAGACAACAGTTTCAAAGCAGTGATACACAAATACCAGATTGGCTTTTTTTCCTGCTCTGAATAACTGACAAGTAAACGTAGTCAATCTGTGTAAATTACAAAGTTACAATAGTTTAATTTCTGTTAGAATAAAAAAATCATTGGCCAGTTAATATCCCAGTTCCATTCTCAGGAAAGTTATGTTTGGGTATTTGTTGGTTTCCTTCCATCTTTGGATTAAAATCTTCCTTGGGTTTTTTGTACATTCTGACCTCTCTCTCTCTCTTTCATTTTGACAACTTTCAGGGAAAAGATATCTTGACACAGAAGCTCCCATTATGGCAACAATCTTGTTCGGATCCCAACAAGATCCCAGACCGTGCTCTCCAGCTCATGCAGCAGATGGCCCTCAGCACCAATGGCTCAATTATGGCTACACCTCTGTCAACATCCAAGTCAAATCTCATCATCTCAGACCCTATACCTGGTGCCAAACCTCTCCCAGTCCCACCAGAGCTGGCACCCTTTGTAGGAGTAAGTATAGGATGGATTGATAAATTGGGAAGAGATGCCATAATTCATCTTTCAATGGAAAGATGTAGACTTGGCACTGCGGCGTGTAACATTTTCTAAGTCAAAGCTACAGTGGTCCTTTCACTGGCACGTTGGAAGCTACATACTTCTAAAGGTAAAGGGACCAGAATTAAAACTGATATAGGTTTTGATTTAGTTTAAACCAGTTAAAATGACTATTGCACATTTAAGAATTTCCATAGAGCTTTGAGCTTTGGTCTTATTTTGCTCAGATATAAAACATGGAGTGTTTTTGAATTAAGATTGCATCTTTGAAAGACATCTTTTTGGCAAGAAAAATAAGTTCCACTGCACTTATTCTGTAGAATATAAACATGCCGGTTCATTTCTTGGCAAAATATGAAGTGCTAATTATTACCACAAAAGCCTAACAAAGCTATTTGAGACCTTTTTTCTGTTTGAACATCCATGCTTACTATGATCATCTGAGGGAGTTTGCCATCATCTAAGGAGGCAAACTCATCTGGTGGCATTTTGGGTTCAAGCCTTCTCTGTTGCTGCCCCAGTCATTGGAGTGTACTCCCTACAGAGTTAAGGAGGCTAACAGCATCATTAGATTTTAAAATGGCCTCTTTTGAAGTAGCAGCCTGACAACTCATAAATTCATAACTCCTGCAACGTGCTGTACATGATGCTGGCTTTCAAGACTACTGAGAAACTGCAGAAAGCAGCTGCCCACTTGCTGGCAAATGAGAAGCACCACAGCAGTATCACACCAGTTCTACAGGATTTGTGTTTGTGGCCAGCAGGTTTCCAAGTACACTTCAGAGTCCTGTATTAACCCAATTGGTGATGGTATTTACATACTTGGGTTAGCTCCCAGTTACCTTCAGGACATTAACTTTTGGAAAGAAAAAATTGGCCTATCCTGGATGTTCAAGATGAGAGGGAATGCTCTAATTATTTTCCCTTCAAGAGACAAGACAGGTGGAGATGCAAATGAGATGTTCTTGTTGCTCTTCCATCACTTGGGAATAGCTTTATCCCCTTGAGACCAAGATTGGCCCCACCTGGTCTGTTTTAGGAAAGTGGGCATTGGAGCCTAGCCATCTACAATTTAGGGTTTGGGGGGAATTTTAATTGGCCTTTTCACCGTTTTAATGTCTCAGTTTTAAATTTTAAGTGTACACTGAAAGCAGTATATAAAGCTACAATAAATAATTAAAATACAATTTAAAATATATTGTCATAAGAAGCCTCTCAAGGCAGCCTTTTTTGTTCATTCTTGAGAAACGAGGCACCGGAGCTGAAATCTGTTGATACATGGCTGATAAACTTGCACAAGTCAGTAACTGACTGTGTTCCAAATTTACATCAGTCTTCAAAAGCTGAATTTAGTGGCCATGGGAAAATTGGGTGATTAAGAGAACTTATGCTTCCTCCTGCTGAAGTGTTTGGGTTTGCACTTAAGCCAGGGGTGTCAAACTCGCAACATCACGTGACGTGTTGCGACGTATCATGACTTTTTCCCCCATTGCCGGCAATGGGATTGGCGCGTTTTCGGCATGACGCGGGCTGGCAGTTTGACACCCCTGACTTAAACAGTTCAGGGCTCTTTGGTTTTTCTTTTCATTACCTTGCATTGATGATTTCCCCACCTGCTGTCCAAAACCCATTTATTCAGTCCAGTTCTACAGCTGTAATATGATAACATCTGGGGCAGGCTGGCCATGAACTGTGTGAAGAAATTCTAAGTTACACAGATTTGCAAACCTCAGCTCAAAGAAACTGAACTCACAGTACTCTGACAGATATTATACAGTGTGGTATATCCTGGTAAGTGGTTATATCCTGCTGTGGTATATTTTGGCATGTCCTTCTAGGCCAGGGGTAGGCAACCTTGGTTCTTTTATGACTCGTGGACTTCAACTCCCAGAATTCCTGAGGCAGCTGGCCTAGGCAAAGTTGAATATCTTCAAGCTAGCTCAAGAAGAGCCATGATTCGATATCATATTACAGGTAGTCCTTGACTTACGATCACAACTGAGCCCAAAATTTCTGTTGCTAAGCAAGGCAGGTGTTAAGTGAGTTTTGCCCCATTTTACGACCGTTCTTGCCACAGTTGTTAAGTGAATCACTGCAGTTGTTAAGTTAGTAGCCCTGTTGTTAGGTGAATCCAGCTTCCCCATTGACTTTACTTGTCAGAAGGTCACAAAAGGTGATCACACGATCCCGGGACACTGCAACCGTTATAAATACATGCCAGTTGCCAAGCATCCGAATATTGATCATGTGACCACTGGGATATTGCAACAGTCATAAGTGTGAAAAACCGGTCGCTTTTTTCAGTGCCATTGTAACTTCGAATGGTCCCTAAATGAATGGCTCTGAGTCAAGGACTACCTGTACAGGTTTAAGCCATTTGATGGGACCACTTACTTCCATAGTCTACCAGTCAAAAAAGGCACCGTGCTCCATCTTTTCCTCCTTAATCAGGTAATTGTTCTTTCCAGCTTTCTGCCAGGAAAAATAAAAATAAAAAATAAGGAGGAAGTGGTGGGAAAAATGAGAGGGCAGCACGATGTAGACTACCTGTAATATTCTGTGAACAAGGCAGAACAGTTGTGCAAAACAAACGTTTGTATCAAGAGCATCCTATTTGTGTTTCTCTCTCCTTCTCCACCCCCCCACCACTATTTCTCCAGCGAATGTCTGCACAAGAGACCATTCCAGTAATGAATGGCGTCTCAGGCTCGGAAGGTGAAGATTACAGCCATTGGTCTGACCGAAAGCCTCCTCAGCCGAAGTCCTTATCTCCACCACAAACTCAAAAGCAACTGAGTGACTCTTACTCCAATACTCTCCCTGTGCGCAAAAGCGTAATGCCGAAAAACAGCTATGCAGCCAGTAAGTCATTCTTGTAAGAGATTATTCCTCTCTCCCCTTCCCTCCATTTTGGAGGACCAGGTATGTCAGATCTCACAGAGCAACACAGTAGGAGAAAGGGCCTAAAACAACTTTCTCCAGGCTTTCCATGTATGCAAAGACCTCTGGGTCCCTAAATCCCCAGCCATCGCAGCAGTCCCAAGAGATCTGGATTACCCCAACTTGGAAAAAGCTGGCATAGAAGCACAAAAATGGCCCCAACTTCTAAAAGCATTTCTCATGTTGAGTCTTTTAAAGGGTCCAGCTAGAACGCTTATCTTTCTGCTTGGTAGAAACAAGAAAAGGTATTGAGAAGGCACTGAAAATTTGGGGAGCTAAGAAAGCTCAAAAAATTGCATCAGGTTGCTGACGTGTAGGCGGGGCTTTGTTAGAAATTAATTAGATGTGCTTGTTTCTTATTTGCAAGCCCTTACACAATAGAAATGGATGAGTCAGATGTTTGCACATACCCAAAGAAGGCTTTTTCTTACAAAAGCTATGAACAACAACACTGTTTCTCTAAAGTGCTGCAGAAGTCTCAGTTCTTTTGCATCACACTAGAAACAGTGGTGAACAAAGCCTCCTTTAGACTGACATCACTCTGCAATGTTTTTTATCTTCTGACTAAGGTAAAGCTGCCTTTGAGTCAGGCTGAACTTGATGAGCACAGTTTGCAGCATTCCTGACAGCACCAGAGAAGTAGTTTTCCACTGCTACCTGCTGGGATGCTAGCTTCCAGGATAGTCAGTAACACAAATGTTTCATGAAAGTCTCTCGTCCAAGGCCTTCCCAGGCCTTCCCTGTTTAGCTTGGAGCTCAGAGAAAGTCAGCCGGATGCTAACACCTACAGTACTGAGATTATGTGGGCTCCGATACTACTGCTGCATTGCTTGGTTCCAGCGGGAAACAAAGTATTTATTGCAGAGGTGTCAAACTGCCGGCCCGTGGGCCGGACACGTCATCTGGAAGCTGCGCCCACCCCATTGCTGGCAATGGCAAAACAGGCCCAATACATTGCGCGACATCACGTGATGTCATGAGTTTGACATGTCTGACTTATTGCATGGGACATGATGAGGTTACTATGTTCTTATTTATTTATTGAATTTATATAGCCACCCATCTCGCGCCTGTGACTCTGGTTGGCATCCACACAATTAAAACACAGAGCTAAACAATCAACATAATTCAAACAGGACCATTACAAGAACCATAAAAACAAAAATATGATTTTCATTGCTTTCTTTTATGCCATAATTACTATTAATCATTTTACATAATACACAGGTATCTAGCACTAGCTAATGTTTGTTTTTAAGAGCAGGTTGCTCAGTACATCATATCTGTGTGTGGGTGTTTTACCAGGAAATTCAGTATTTTCTTTTGCTTTACAAATTCATTGACATTTATGATTAAGGGATGATGATGGTTTTACTACCTTTTAGCCACAGTTGTGAAGTGAATCACTGCAGTTATTCAGTGAATCAGGTGGTCATTAAATGAATCCGGCTTCCCCCATTGATTCTGCTTTTCAGAAGCTGTCTGGGAGGGTTGCAAATGGCAATCACATGTCCTAAATATATGCTGGTTGCCAGCACCTGAATTTTAAACTCATGAATGTGGGTATGCTGTGAGAGTCATAACTGTGAGGACCAGTTGTAAGTCACTTTTTTCAGTGCTGCCGTTGATTTCAAACAGTTACCGAATGAATTTGTGAGTCGAGCGGACTATCTGCAGATCCGCAATCCACAGTCTTTTTTTTTTCGGAAAAAAAACATTTGACAAACATTCTCTGGTAACTGAAGTATTAGCAAAGAAGTATAATAACAAAAAGGCTTATTTATTGAAAAGAGTGGACTCCATTTCTGTCTTGTCTTTCAGCTGAAAACAAGACTCTTCCCCGTTCCAGCTCCATGGCGGCAGGATTAGAAAAGAATGGCCGGACAAGAGTGCGAGCCATCTTCTCTCATGCTGCTGGGGACAACAGCACCCTTCTGAGCTTCAAGGAGGGGGACCTTATTACGTTGCTAGTGCCTGAGGCCCGAGATGGCTGGCATTATGGAGAGAGTGAAAAGTCCAAATTGTGAGTATGCTTGTGTGGGCTTCAAAATCGGTTTTTCTTTTCTTAAGGTGTCTTCTTTAGCATTCAGTTGCTTTCTTAGCACAGCGGCCGGCAATAACAATGTTATGGACTGTAACTTTTAAACCTCTCAGAGCCCCGGAAGGGTGGTGCCAATTGCCTACTCTGAGCCATCCTCAGACACACAAAGCCACGCTGCCTTTTGTTCCCAAGGTTCAGGAGTACAATCTGGGGTGGCTGTAGATAGAGCAAAGCATGGGGCTGTCTCAGGTGTGACCCACTTTGTCATTTGGGTCTTTTTCCCCAGTGTGGCCTTGCTGCAGAAATTGCAACAAGAATTCCAGCATTTTGCATCTGTGTTAAAAAGCCAATGCAAAAATCAGAGGAAGAGAGGAGAGAAACACTGCAAGTCTGATGAACGTTGGGCCTAAGACAAATTATTGTTCTTTATGCTTAAAACGTAGTGTGACTTTCCAATGAACTTTTTTTCGTTACCCTGATTTGGAAATCTTTGCTCTGGTAGCCAAAAGTGAAGTTGTTGTGCCAAGAAGTGGAATGTATAATAAACAGTTCTGCCCTCAACAACACAGCTCCCACGCTGGGGAATGCCAGAAAAAAAAATGAAGAGGGAGGGCAGAAATTGCAGGCTTTTAATTCCTGGAGAGTCTGTAGCGTAACTAGGAATAAAAGCTGTCACTGGGGTGGACTGGTCCAGCAGGTTTGCTTTGGCATAATAGGTTTGCTTAAGATTAGGGCAAAAAAAGTCTTCCTTGGCAACAATTGTGTAGGTAAGCTCCTTCGTAGATACTGAATATTTATCCTTTTTTTTTTTTCTTCCCTCCTTCCCCACATCTCGGTATTTAAAGCTCTAAATCTGGAGCTGCAGTCTTTTTCATTTTGTTCACTAAATATAGCCATACCTTTTACTCTTTCGTCCATGCAATTTGTGACTGGCTTTACAACAGATGCCAGTTGCCAAGCAAAGGGTTGGCTTAATTAGCAGAACCAGATTAGGAAGCCTTAGAACTGGAGGGCAGCCATGAGGGTGGAAGTCTGCTGACCCGGCCATTCCTTTTTTTAGCCCAAGTGAACGTCCATGGGGTGAGCCGGAAAGCTGGCAGGGTGTGAAACTAGGTGGCTGGTGAGACTGTGCACAATAAAAATCGGGCAGGAGGATAATCTTGCTTCACAAAGTAAAAGCACAGATGGCAGTAAGATGCCCGTGGCCATTTGGGGAGCTGCCACATGTATTGGCAGCATTCCTTTAAAAGATCCAGGATTAGCTCATTCTAGATACAGGTAGTCCTCAACATACAATTGAGCCAAAATTTTTGTTGCTAAGCAAGACAGTTGTTCATGAGTTTTGCCTGATTTTATGACCTTTCTTGCCACGGTTGCTAAGCGAATCGCGGCAGTTGTTAAGTAACACCGTTGTTAAGAGAATCTGGCTTCCCCACTGATTTGCTTGTCAGAAGGTCACAAAAGGTGACTTTGAATGGTCACTAAACAAACTGTTGTACGTCGAGGACCATCTGTACTCAAATGCTACCTTCTGTTATAATGTCCCCCTCTTACTGTAACACATGTACTGAATATGCCTCCAGCCCTTTTTTGCATCATCACCCTGTTACACGTTCCCAAAGCCACTCTGCTAAAGTTCACTGGCAAACCACCCACATTCAGTAATGTGACATTTTGAACATTTTTTAAAAAACAATTAACGGGTAAAGTATACATTCAATTCTTTATAAATCAGTCTGAAGGCACTTCTACATTGCTAGTGCTTTCACTCCCCAAATTCTCAGCTGCAATCACACTTCTTGGCTACCATGAAGCTTGCCGGTGCCTCTGCCCGGCTGGCCAATGGGAGGGGAGTTCAAAAATGGCTGCTCATCTGGTGTCTTATTGCCTCCTCCCTCCCACTTTGCCTTTGCTTGCCTGCATTTGTTTTCTGGCAAGGAAAAAAAATGCAAAGTTACTCCATTGAAGCAGCAAAGCTGTCACATTGGCAGGGTGGGGAAGGATAGCAAGGTGTAATGGCTCCCTGACTTTGGGAAGAGTGTGAGGAATCCAAGAAATTGGAAGGCAAGATGAGGCAAGAATTCCCACCACTGGGAAATAACTATCTTCTGAAAGAGCAGCTGATCTGGGAGTAAATTGCTCACCTGACAAAGAATTTCCATGCCTGACAGAGTCAAGGGCACAGAGAGACACTGCACTGATTCCAGATTGGTGCAGTTCATGCATATGGAAGGGACCATATTTCTAAAAATCTGTCCACGGTTTCCCTACGCTTTGAAAGAAGCAGCCAAACAATTCATCCCCGGTCTTCCATCACCTCATCACCATTCTTCCTGAATCTGCTGGAGATAATAAGAATTATAGGAAGAAAGGATGACAACTCCTCCCCCCCCAACCTTGCTATTGCCTAGTAAACTTTTGTCATGTCATAGAATGGAATGTAAATAACCCAGTAAGCATTTTGAAGTTACAATTTCTTTATTGGGTTTTTTTTTTAAAGTCTTTCTTTCAACTGGAGGATATTTGATTTATTCAAGAACAGGATTAAAAATTAAGAGGCATTCTGGATTCTTCCCATAGAAAATGGAAATCATAGGAAAAGCTTTGTGGGTATTCAAAAGGTAGTTCAGTGAATAGGGCTTTTGAATAGTACAGATATGTGATGAAATATGCAGCTGGAGAAGGAGGGGGGGGCATGTTGGCAAGAGCACTGTGGCTTCCCAGGAAAGAGGCAGCACGTTCCAGAGAGGGGCCCAAAACAAGAGACAGACCAGGAGAGGGAGAGGGGAGTTAGGAAGAGGTTCGGAGTAGACACACCAGGGTATAGCTTTAGTCTGGCAAGGTTCTGTTTATTAAATAGTTGAAAATAACAACAACAACAACAACTTTATTGTCACTTTGAATGTACACCAATCAGCATACACCAAAATGAAGTTTTGTTGCATACTGCTCTCAAAGGGCCACCACCTCCGATATGCACTCCTTGTTCGCGGCTTCCAGCTGAAGTTTCAGATCGTCCATTTTAATCTCTAGGAGGCGAACGATGGCAAACAGGACAGATAGAAACGGAGCTCCGTGTGGATTAGCCCTCAAATTAGATTGTATTCCTGCACGACAACCTCATAACGACAACCTCGCCTCCTATAATATATACTATTATAAATATATTATATTATATTTATTATTATACACATTATAAAGCCTTAGTAAGACCATACTTGGAATACTGCATCCAGTTTTGGTCTCCATATTAGAAAAAAAGATGTAGAAACTCTAGAAATAGTGCAGAAAAGAGCAACAAAGATAATTAGGGGTCTGGAGACTAAAACATATGAAGAACGGTTGCAAGAATTGGGTTTATCTAGTTTAGTGAAAAGAAGGATTAAGAGTGACATGACAGCAGTATTCCACTATTTGAGGGGCTGCCACAAAGAAGAGGGGGGTCAGCCTATTTTCCAAAGCACCAGAAGGCAAGACGAGAAACAATGGATGGAAACTAATCATGGAGAGAAGCAACCTGGAGCTAAGAAGAAATTTCCTAACAAGTAACCAGATGAAACAAATAAAGAACAGGACTTCACTGGATCTCACTGTGTCGTCTTTAGGCTTAGGGCTGACAAGAGAGTATCTGTTGTCCCTCTCTTTCTCTGACACATTCTGTTTTCTGCTTCTCCTGTCAACCGTCCATACTGAGGTTATAGTGGGAACACAGGCAAGATTGGTTCATTTTGACCGCATCACTAGGCTTTGAGGCTTATACGTCCTGGAAATTTCTACAAAGTATTGAGAGAAGTGGGTTATCTGTAGCTGAAATTCAAGAATAGGCACCTCTGTTTTGACTACAGAATACTGAAATTCTAATGGCTTCTTCAGTATCCTCTTCACTGAATGGGGAAAAAAAACCTTGGATATATTTTTTTCTTTTTTTCTACCTGTGTTGTAGGAGAGGCTGGTTTCCTTTCTCCTACACGCGTGTGCTGGAAAGCGATGGGAGCGATAGATTACATATGAGGTAAGAAAGTTTTTTTGATGGGTGCAGTGTAATCACCTGACATTTGAATAATGTTTATACTCAAAACAGACAAGCCCTGTGTGTTTACTTAGCCAGAAGTGGTATCTGTCCTACATTGCCTTCTTCTGGCTTATCTTTCAGGAGGAATTTTATTAGACTGGCTTCATGTTTCTTGAACTAAGATTTCAGGCTTTGCTGTGAAAATACGTGTGCCCGTGTATTTGTACACACAGAGATACATACATGTGTGTGCGCATGCATGTATGATCTGGAGCAAGCCAGTGTGAATATATATTTGCTGGAAAAAGTCCTATGACAGTGTTTCATATGGTGAAACGTAATGAACGCCTATGGCCCCAGATGGAAAAGCTCCAGGCCTTGGCGGTGACAGGAGGAGGATGTTACCTTAGTGATTCTGAGCAGGCTCCCATAGGGAAAGACGTGTGGGAGTAAGAGAATCTGAAGAATCCTAATTTTGTCTGCATGCAGGGAAATGAGCCGAGACTTAATGGCTTATAAAGTGTGCTCTCTTTGCACAGTTTTGCCACAGAGGAGATGCTGACTAAATGTATTTATGTCTTCAGCCAGGGGAAAAGCAGTAGTACAGGTAACCTGTTGGACAAAGATGATATCCCCCCTCCAGATTACACCATGTCCTCCCGAACTTTCCAGTCACCGAATGTCAGCACTTTCAAACAGAGGCCGTACAGCGTGGCAGTGCCAGCATTCCCCCAGGTGAGACACTTTTCCAACGCGGAGGAGAGGAGGCGTAACCATTGTGAGTGAATACGCCAATCAGGAGGGGCTCTGCCAGAGGTAGATTCTAAGGTTCCATCAGTGGAGAAGGAAGGTGGTAATCAGCATTATGTGGGTGTCAGGGGTACATTTCTTGTAACTTCTGGTTGGGTATGATTTATCTTGTACTAAATGTTTGAAATGGTTGCTGACCATCAAAAAAACGGCTTAAATCAAATGGATGCATGGGTTGGTGAGAATTAAATGGGCCTTAGATCATTTAAATATAGCTGCTCTGATTAGGGAAGAGTAAAGGAGGAATTGGCACTGCAACTTTTTCTACAGCTGGTACAACAAAATGAGAGGGTTCTAGCTGAGTCACACTTTGTGATTTGGGTAACAAGCCGTAGACGTCTGGTTCACAGACTACTAAGCCATAAGCATGGCTCAGCACAGTGTGTGAGTGAAACTATGAACTGTGGTTGAATGGAACAAACTTGAGGTTAGCCCACCAATGGACTACCAGCTCTTGTTTTCAATTAAGCCAACTTGCAATATCTGTCTGAACACATTATTTTTCCCTGTAGGATAGAGAAGTCTTGTGATGAGATGCTTGATTCTGTGAAATATTTCTTTGGGCTATGAGCAACAAGATTTTCAATTCCCCCCCCCTTATTGTTGGAGTTTATATCTATTTGAATTGATTGGATCCTTGTGGTGCTGTTTCTTAGTAATGCTATTGATAACTCTTTCTATTGCCTGCAAAATTGTTTGAAAACTTCTTCTACAAAGTTGAAGGCTAGGATGGGAAGTCAGTAAACCCACTTCCTTTGATATAGCAGTTGTTCTCCCTTCTTTGTGCTAAACTGCAAAGTTATCTTCCTTATGCAACCCAACAATCAAATGACGTTACAGTTGCCATTATGTTTTGAACCTGATCACCAGAAGAAAACTGGGACCAAAAATCAAAGATGCAGTGTGCACATTGTGGGTAGGCAAGAGAGGCTGCCTTGCTAAATGGTGGGAAACTGATCAAGGAGAGAAGCAACCTGGATTTAAGGAGAAACTTCCTGACAGTGAGGACAATCAACCAGTGGAAGAGCTTACCCCCAGAAATCGTGGGCGCCCCATCACTGGAGATCTTTAAGAAAAGACTAGACAATCACTTGTCTGAGATGGTGTAGGTTCTCCTGCTTAAGGGAGGGGCTGGACTAGAAGACCTCCAAGATCCCTTCCAGCTCTATTCTATTATTATTATTATTAAAAGTAGCTCTGGTTGCACCATTTCTGAAGTGAACATTCCTAAAAAATTCTGTTTCGTAACACAGGTTTTGGTACAAGCAGGTGAGGCTTTCTGGCCAACAGTTGCTTGTATTCATTATTTATAGGAGTACCTTATGCCCTACGGTTGTGCAATTAATGAATATTCCCGTGGCCTCTTCCCAGTGTCACCCGCCTCCTACCAGCCTTATTCTAGGTCAACAGCCGTAAGTCCCAAGAACACAATGTTTCCATTGGGGTTTCGAAAGCCTCTTTTCTGCCTCCAGCGTCTTTGTGGCTTACCTAACACATGTATCCTGGCTCCACACCTCTCCCCATCCTCCTCAATCTTAAGAAGCCGGAGAGATGAAAGGCTTCTTCAAAAAAAAATAATGAAAACAATTGTCAGAAAAGCAAATAGGAGTAGAGGTAAAGAATTAACGGATTGGCAAATTAGTGATGGGTAAGGCAGAAAGACTGGCAGTAAAGGGCAATGCAAATACCCAACTGGTAACATATGGCTGTTCTATAAGTATCTAGCTGTAGAATTCAATGGTTCGTAGGCCAACAATGCTTATTTTTCCCCCATCCCCTCTCCCTTGGACCTTCCACGTGGGGTCTCTGGAGGTTTGAGAAGATTAAACACCAGCTAGTGGGTGGATGGAGACAAGGAAAATAAGCTGAGGGACATGGAAACAGAGTGTGCACATTAATAGGAAAAAGGGGATGGGTGAATTTAATTTTGTTGGAAAACCACATTAAAATGTTTATCTCCTATCAAGGGTAGCACGCTGAGAAGAATGTTATCGGACCAAGAATACTTAGCATTAGAACGAAGGCACAATTATTTGGCTGTAAAGAGGTTACGCTATCAGAGATTTCCTAAGCACAAGAGTCCATCCTTTTCTCAGGGTCTTTAGAATTAAATATCTATGTCAGAGTGTGCTGTGAAGAGATAAGTTGCAAAATAAGAGTGCCTTTGGCTAGAAAAATGTTGGATTTCTTTAATGGCGAGCTTTGATTCTCAAGTCATTCATTCGGAAGCCACTTTTTCTCTGGCTAGACACATGTCAGAGGAAAAGATCACAGCAAAAGAAGAATGGGCCTTATCCTTAATACACCCACATACCAATTAAGAGGCTACTATGGTACTGTTTGAGTATATTTGAGTATAGTCCTTCCATTTCAACTACAGGCTGTCAGCCCTGAACGGCTGACATCTGATCTAAAATTTTATGTTTTTGTCTAGAATATTTATTGCCGTAATCAGGTGAAAGCTTTGTACAAGTACTGTAGTTGAGCCAAATATCTTCATGGGTCTGAACAGGAGTAAGGGTATGTTAGTTCAGGCTAGGGAAAAATTCCTAGAACGGGTAGGCAACCTTGGCTCTTTTATGACTCGTGGACTTCAACTCCCAGAATTCCTGAGCCAGCATGGCTCAGCTTGGAAACCTCTCCCTTTCCCCTCAGCATGGCTGGCTCAGGAATTCTGGGAGTTGAAGTCCACAAGTCATAAAAGAGCCACGGTTGCCTACCCCTGCCCTAGAACTATCCAACATTATGATTCCCTTTACATCAAGAATGGGGAACTGGCGGCTCGTCAGTTCGCAACATTTTCATTACTGGATGATGCTGGCTGTGGCTGCTGGGAGTTGGAGGACAACCACGTTCAAAGGCTCACAATTTAGTACAGGTAGTCCTCGACTTACCACCATTTGTTTAGTGACCATTCAAAGTTACAGCGGCATTGAAAAAAGTGGCTTATGGCCAGTTTTCAAACTTAACAACCGTTGGAGCTTCTCCATGGTCACGTGATCAAAATTTGGCAACTGGCGTGTATTTATGACCACTGGCAGGGTCCCAAGGTCATTTGATCACCTTTTGCGACAAGCAAAGTCAATGGGGAAGCCAGAGTCACTTAACAACCATGTTACAAGCTTAACAACCGCAGTGATTTGTTTAACAACTGTGGCAAGAATGGTCATAAAGTGGGGCAAAACTCACCAGCTGTGTTGCTGAGCAGCAAAAATTTCAGGTTCAATTGCGATCATGTGTCAAGGACTACCTGTACTCTGTTATACAACATAGTAGGACTTAAATATGATTCCTTCCTTCCACAGTAGCTGTATGATTAATTAGACTTCACCCAAAAGGGAAAAATAAGCACTTTTATTTATTTTTTTCTTCTCTTCCCTGGATGTATCAGAGAACAGCGATGAAAGTAGCAGGCTGCATTTCGCTGTGCATGTCTGCTTTGACTTCATCTGTTCTACCTCTCTGAAGAGAAGGTGATGATATGCAAAAGGGATGGAGGATGCAGCCTCTGGTGCCTTCCTCCATCGGGAACTGAAATGCTATCAAGCTGCGTTCACCACAGCGTGTTTTTGCAGTGTGCATAGCATTTTGCACAGTCCCTTTTTAGCATCCTGCACTGCATGTCTTTAAGTTGGAGGCTGTTTTTAACCTCATAGATCTGCTATACAAGATCACCCTCTGGTGAAACAAATGTGTTTTGTTTTGTTTTGTTTTGCCAATATGTTTTGTCATACTTTTGAGACCAAGTACTTTGACTATGCCTTGGAAGGCTGTTGGGACAAGGCAGATGCATAACTTCCATTGCTATCTTTGTGGCAAAAACCGTATGGTTCCATAGCTGATGCCCCCCCCCTTGTTTTTTTTTTTCTACAGGGACTGGATGACTATGGGGCAAGACCCTCAAGCAGGTAAGATACTTCATTTTACAATCCATGATGGGTCTGCAAAATTAATTTCAATATGAGAAGCTAAAGTTTGGGCAAAAGTTTAAAAGTGATGTCAAATGCAATTTCTGGTGGTTTCACTGACATGCCCTATATAGCATCTTAAAAATTATACAGAAGTTGATTTATTTTTTTTAAATCTTCTTAGTCTAGCCTGCAGCTCTGCAATTTTTACCATTAAAGTCTAACCTCCCAGGTCCGATCTCGCATTAGCTTTCTTAGATCAGCCACATAGCCTAGCAGAAGCTTGAATGAAAGAAATTCCCACAGAACCACGTGTTTTTAAAGCGTGCAGGAACTGTGAGTCCAGGGGCCAAATCCCCTGTTTTCTGAGTAAGACATGGCATAATTGCTTGCATTTGGGAGTGGATTTGGTCTGGGCTCTTCCCAAAAAGAATATATATTTCTTGAATTGAAATGCTTCTCATACATATATAGCCCACGCGATTTTCCCTTTCAAGGTAGCCAGTATTATGCAAAATGCAGAAAATGTTTATGCACCTTGCTCAGACTCATTTGAGTGGGCTGTATAAAAATGCTGCAAATAAATAACAAGGAATGTCTCATTATTCTTTTCTGTCCTTGTGGCCATGACTTCTGCTATATCTATTCCTCACTTCATACATTCATTCTTTAAACTTCTCACCTCTTTTTTCAAGGTTCTTGTCAACTACATCCAGCCACAACTTCCTTTGTGTTCTTCCTCTTAATCCATTCACTCTTCTTTTTTTTTCTATAAATTTTGTTCATTCTTTCAACCCATTTCTTTCCAACTGGTCACCTTTTTTGTAGTTCACATTTATGTCCATACATTCTTGGTCCTATCTCTTCTTGTTTTTCCAAAATAATTATACCCATTGTATTTAACTGACTTTTATTTTTTTCCTGACATTCCCAACTCTTACCTCCACATAACTAAATAGCTGAAAGGACATCTTATAAACAGCTATTATCATCTCAGTTCACGTTCATTCCTCCAGTCTAAGTATTACCCATTAGTTTTCTTTTATCAACATTTGCATAACTTAAGATTTCCTCATTCATTTTCTCATCTTTAATTCTGCCAAGATGCACAAATTCATCTACTTTTCCTGGTGTGTGTGTGTGTGTGTGTGTGTGTGTGTTATGAATAAATTGAATTCATTCACTTCAGAAATCACTCTTTTTTTGCCCACTCATGATTATTCTGTTTCTCTGTTTAGGTAAGGAAATATCTCTGAAAAATGACCCAATGGGTCACAAATTGTCTAGTTCCTTATATATTTATTCATAAACACATTAAACAACTAAGGGCACAGCATACATCCAGATCTTACTCCCTACTAAATGTCGAAACATTAATTAATTAATTTACTCTACTGGAGGCTCCTTTTCACCCACTTCCAAAACAATTTTGATTCCCATCAAAATTGCTTTGTATTTTCTTGGTTTTTCCTTGCTCTCTTCTTTGTAATCATCCCATTTCTCGGTACATTGTACAATATCAATGTACGATACGCTTTTTGCCGTGGTCATTCTTGTTTGTGCATTTTCTCATGCCCGGCTTCTTTCACGTCACCATTCCATAAAGTATCCTTTTTCATTCTTCCTGTTAGTCAATCTAAAAAGGAAAATGAGCTTTATTGAATGTCACTGTGTTAATTATTACAGAGCTTCCCCTGCTGTGTGCAGTGATAGGAAAATATGACTATTCTTTATGTTGCATTGCAACTCATGCAGGGTAGTAGGCATGCTCAACAGACATGGTTGGCACAGTGAATTAACTGAATGTGCACCACTCGTGTCTCATTTTCTGCAGTGCATTCATGAGTCATTTGTTCAGTAGGACACAACTTCAGTTTTAAATGCAATATTTCCAGTTAGACAAACTACAATTTTTTTTTAAAGCAGGAATGAATAGTAGACTCCACATTTTGCTCTTCTGGCATCTCTAGTTGCATATTTTTTTAGACTTACTGTTTTTTTCTCCCTGTGGCCTTCAAACTGAGACACAGTGGTGGAAATGCCCCTTACAAAACCAGGAATGAATGCAAAATCCATATCCAAGCAATTAGAAGCAACAAAGATGTCACAGAACAGCAACCTGATCTTTCCGCTTGTTTTTTGAGTATGGCAAGTACTTCTAACATAGTGGGTTCTGCTGCTAGATGGAGCCCAAGAGAAGCTGCCCTTTCAGAGCTGCAGTGAAGCTGCCAATAGTCTACTCATTGCTTCCTGCCCACCCTCTCTCTGCCCTCGCTTCCTAATTCCAATATCAATGCGTTGCACCTTACTTGGTGCTCTTCCATCTACTCTTGGTTATTACTCTCTCTCTCTCTCTCTCTCTCTCTCTCTCTCTCTCTCTCTCTCTCTCTCTCTCTCTCTCTCTCTCTCTCTCTCTCTCTCCGAGTTTGGGTCGAATTGTGTGCTTTTTCTTTCTGTTCCACAGCGGCAGTGGTACGTTGGTATCTACAGTGTGAGAGAAGGAACCTTGACTAGAAATGGCAGCTGCTGCTTGGAAGACTTCTTTGTTTTGCTTCTCTGTCCCCTTCATTTCCTTCTTTCTTCTGAGATGCACATTTTTCCTCCTGCCTGTCCTGTTTTCAAAGCAACAGTGCCAACTCCTCCTCTCACCCCTGAGACCCTGAGGACCACTCCTTGAGGAACCCTTGGAGCTGCTACTTCCCCGTCCCCCGGTATTTGCAACCAGCCATTTTGGAGCAGAAAAATGTCCAGATAAGGAATGTTGGTTTTTCACAGCCACTACCAGATGCAATTGAGATAAACTAAACTAGATAAAGATGCTGCATCTCTCTTTCTCTCTTTCTCATTTATAAATTATTTTATTTTTCCCAATGCATTCTCTTAACATCTCTTAGAGATGTTAATGCAAGCTGCACATTTATAGCAAAATAAGTGCAAGATTCACCCCTTCTTTAAAAAAACCCTCAACAATCTGGAAACAAAATATGCATGGCATATGGTGTACGTACTGTTACTTCAACTATCCTTTTTTGCAACTTTATCACAAAATTAGTTTTCTGTGTCAAAAGAAAAAGGGCCGTTGGGATGCTCGGGCATTTCTGTGTTGGTTTTAGCAAGAATTGGACTGTTAAACTGAGCACCAACCCAGTCTCCATTTTGTAAAGTATTTTGTTTTATATATATATGACAGACACAAGCATATTATATTACTATTCTATTCTACTATGATATATATTTTGTAGGAAGGTATTGTTACCTCACTGTTATGCTGAAAAGAGTGGAAGGGAGGGGAAGGGCCTCTTCTGTTGTATTATGCAGATTGCCAGATCAATCCAAAGACTTTCTCTTTATAAAACTGGAGGTTCTTTTTTTTTTTTTTGTCTTGGGGTAGAGAGGGAGGGCCAAACTGCCTAAGTTTTGAAGTTCCGGTTCTGAACGTGGTGGTTTTTTTTTCTTTTTTGCTGAAATTTCAACCACTTTCCTTTCCTTAAAAAAAAGCTATCGGTCTTTTTTATATGTCTTAACTAATTTCAGGGGCAAACAAAGTAGGATTGAAACTAATGGCTACCGATTGGGACTGCTTCTTCCATTACCAAATTACAGGAGATCAGACACGTGACCCATGCTAAAGACTGAACCCTTTCAGCTTTGGGTTACAACAGGGTTTTCCCAACCCTGGCCACTTTAAGACGTGTGGACTTCAACTCCCAGAATTCCCCAGCCAGCAGCAGCTGGGGAATTCTGGGAGTTGAAGTCCACACGTCTTAAAGTGGCCAAGGTTGGGAAACCATGGGTTATAGTCTACAGTTTGAAGCTGTATTCCTGTGATGACCAAAGGGTGTCTGCAGGATATGGTCCAAAAAGTCAACATGGTGACCCACAACGGTGCAATCAAAACTGCGTTTAAAAAGTGGCCAGGCTTTTTGACTATATCGTCTTAACCACCATATTGACTTTTTTTTTTTAACCACACTTGCCGATACCAATGTGAGTTAAGTGAAAAACAGTCAAAATATTTGATCTGTATAGGAAGCAGCTGGCAATATTATCTTGACTAATTGTATATATGAAAGTTCTATCTCTGCACATATTAACAAAGCTTTTGTTTTATATAATAGACTTGGGGCATATGTACTGTAGTAAGATCCTCATTGTCATAGCTTTGCTCAAATGACGTTTACATCAAGGATACTCTGTAGAATACAGAAAACAAAGCAAAACTGAAAACGCACAAGCACTGTGTGAACACTGTAAAAGTGCTGATGGAGAGGGGTATTGTGTTTCTTTTTCTTTCTTTCTTTTTTAAAAAAACCTAAGAAACAAATACAAAAAAACAAAATCAAGCTGAAAAGAAATGTGCCATGTACTATGATATTTGAATAAAAGTTTTACTTCCTCCGTTGAGTTGGGCTTGGGTGATTTTCTTCAATGTTTTTTTTTTTTAAGGTCTATTTATTTAGCTGACTTTATCCTTGGCAGATTATACGCTCACACTTAGATTGTTTAGAGCCGTGGGGGTGCAGTGGTTAGAATACAGTATTGCAGGCTAATTCTGCCTACAGTCTGGAGTTTGATTCTAATTGGCTCAAAGTTGATTCAGCCTTCCATCCTTCTGAGGTTGGTAAAATGAGGACCCAGATTTTGGGGGGGCAATATGCTGACTCTTTAAAACTGTGTAGAGAGGGCTGTAAAGCACTGTGAAGAGGTATTGTATATAACTCTAAGCGCTATTGCTAGTGTATTTGTAATACAAAAGGCTCTTGGCCCAATCCCCATTTTTCTCAATTTGCCTTTAATGCTCAGACATCTCTTCATGACTGTGAGAGTGCAAGTTATTTTATTCCCATTCTACATATTAAAAATTGAGACTGAAAAAGAGACTTGCTCAAACCCAGGACAGGAACCTATACAGGTTAACCAGCTCTTCCTGTTCTAATTCTGATCACAAATATCTGGTGGAAGACTCTTTCCAATAAGCCTCTTCGGTCCACTACTTAGGT